GCTCAAAAAATAAGAAGTGGTCAGAAAATATTCTAAGTTCACAAGACCAAGACAGGTTCTCAAAACTCCAGAATGGCTCGAAAAGATAAGTCAAGAAGAAATTATTCTAGGCCATAACATTAAAGGAGTCTCATAGGTTTCTCTCAGAAATACTCGAAAGATAGAAGTCTTGAAAAATTCAAAGCCAGTTACCGGTAGTTATCAACATTCACCACTACGCAAAGGAGATCATGGGCGATAGCGGTTACGAAAGAAGCCCCAACCAACAACACGATCATAAGCAATCGTGGATAATGAGCATCAACAGTTGAAGGTAGTTACTAAGAAGTGCCCACAAAAAGAGAAAAACAGTGGTGATCTTCATGTCTATAAATACTCCAAAGCATCATTGTAGAGGACGACTTTTTGCACCCTGACACTGCACCTAAACTCTCTGAGACGCTGAAACCCTGCACCGCGCCAGACACCAGCTACAAGGAGACATTACGGTTGTTGCTGTTCATTGCTAGGAGTAGTACGTTTACATTCACACACCTTTACATTCTTGCATTTACATTTCTGCATTTTAATTCCAGCTTGCTGCTTATTTCAATTATTGCAATTTATTTCCTATTTAGCGCTTTTCTGTAAAGAACATCTACATTTGATTCAATTCTGCTCATTTATTATTCACTATTCTTGCTTAATACTCTTTTACGCCGTTAATTTTAGTATCACGTTAACAACACACTTAAAAGAACCCAAAGAGGACCTAAATCCAGTCTCCAGATTGATCTTTGGATTATTTGTTTATAATTGTTATTTTTCACCGTAAACATAGACGCACTCAATTTTTTAGTAAAGGTTTATATGCCTGGACATTGTCAAATCTGTCTTACATTTCTTTTATGAATTTTCAAAATTGAAATATGTTGTTTGGTATTATTGTCTAGAATTTATGGAAGAATATGAACAAATTTATATTTCAAATCTCTTTTATTCCTCCTAACAATTTAGCTCAAAAAACTCTATGATTCTGATTTTTTTTTTTCTGTTGTTATAATGGTAAAGCCAAATCTATATTTAACATAACCTTTGAACATGAAAAGGTTATATGGGTTTCTCCTCCCATAGACCATTTGAAGTTAAATGTTGATGGCGTAGTTTCCAAAGTCAACAAGGCAGTAGCTTGTGGTGGCCTTCTACGTGATAGCTGTGAGAGATTTATCTCTAGTTTTTACAACAGTCTAAAACCTTATTCGTTCATTGTTGTAAAACTTTGAGGCATTTACTAGAAATTCAGTTGATAGTTAAAAATAAAGTGAAGACTATCTAAATAAAGAGTGACTCCAAAGAAGTTATTGACCTTATTCTAAATGTTCAATAACCGTCTCATCATTTGTTCCCTATAATTTGTAAAATTAAAGAGGCTTTAAGACCTATTAGTTTTGTTAAGTTTGTTTATATATCTAGAGAGACTAATAAGTGTACTCAGTGTCTTGTTAAGATAGTTTTAGATCTTTTATCTTCTCTCTTCCAATTTGCTATTATTTTCTTCCTCCTTTCCCTTCATTAAATATGAATGCTAGTAACTTGTAGTTTTCTAAACCTGTTGCTTAGTTTGTTTATTTGTTATGAACTTTTTAAAGTTCTTTCTAAAAATAAAAAAATTGATTCATTGTATTTTATTTTGTTTTTATATGAATATTTTTTTTATGTTAACATTTTAAGTCATAAATATTACTTATATTATATTATAACTTCTAATTTCATGTCAAAGTTTAAATATTTATATGTTAAAATTAAGTTGTAAAATTTTTCCATAACTTAAACGGCTTAAATAAATGTTTCAAAATAATTAATTTGATTAATCATGTAAGTTTACAAATAATCAGTTGAAAAGAGTTCTGTTTTTTTATTTTTTTTTGGCTATTGAGTTCTATTTTTTAAAACATTATCTTATGTTTTCTATTATATTATTTATTACATCAAATATTTAAAAGTTTAATTTTGATGCATAATAATAATAATAATAATTTTACTATCAATGTGTATTAGATATAATTTATATATTAATTATTACATAAATTAATCATTATTTAAGATATAGCGATTCATATATAAATAACAATGTAAATTAATTTATACAGTTAATATATTTAAATTAAATTAATTTTTTTTAACATGCATGTCTTCTCTTGCTATGTGGGTATACTCTTTTTTAAGCGTGAAATGATTATTTAGCGGCACAAAAAATCTTTCCCACAAACATATATAAGTTTTACTATATTATTTTCATATTTTAAAATTTTTAATGTAATAAATATTTAAAAAAATTAAATATATTTATTATTTTAAAATAAAAATATATTTTTTCCACACACTAATAATCTTTCCACTTAATTAAAAAATTTGCAAACTTAAAATGAATTAAAAAAAAAAAAGAATTATTCCATGAATATTAGAGCACTGCCGTTAGGAGTAACGACATAACTGTTGTGGACAATAATTATAACTTGGCACATGCAATTTAGCATTTGGCGAAATTATATGGTTAGTTTACGGTTTATTTGAAAAGGGATAAAGTATTAAAAAAAGTAAAAATATGATAATAAAAAAAAGTGTTATTAAGATAAATGAAAAAATGTTCAACTTGGTTCGCAATAAATATTAAAAAATATAAAATTAAGAATATATTTATTTTTTATTTTAAAAACAATTTTTGTAAGAAATATATAATATAATACAAATTTATATTATATTATATTTTTAAAAATAAAAAAATGTTTTTAAAATGAAAAACAAAGACTCCAAGTATTTTATATTTTAAAAATTGCATGAAAAATATTTAACAATAAAACAATAATAAAACTCAAATCCCTTTGCTCCCTCAATTTTTTGCGAGTTGGGGGCAAATTTATTCTAATATTGTAATTAAAAAACTATTTATCATTTTATAGCAAATCTGAAACAATTTTTCAATTTGAGGTTTTTTTGCTACGTAAATCTATTTTTCACTATAACGACTGGCAAAAGTAATTAATTTTAAATTTTTTAATATTTATTTTGCCACAAAAAAATGAAATAAATAAGATAATAGCACATGTCAAACACATATTAGTTTCGCAACCTGATTGGCGAAATAATTACTAAGTTTTGCCACAGACAAAGCGCAATTAATTACATGTTGACACGTGGCTCCAACAGCTATTATTTTGCCATTTGAATAGCGAAAGTAAATGAAATTAAATGGACGGTTGGGGAGATTTTGATACACGTGGCAATATCTGACATGATTCGTGCTGTTACTGGCGAAAGTTTATTTCGTCCTGCAGTTGGCGAAACCGTTCAGACATTGACATGTGGCCAATTGTTCAGTAACCTTGACCGACGTCCTTCTTCCTCCTCCGTCGTCCAGCTTCGTTTCCATTTTTCTTTTCTCCATTTTTGCTCCTCTATCGTCGTGCAGGCAAAAGTTTCAAAATTTGTTTTGATTTGTATTGTGAATGGTCAAATACTGTTACGAATTTAAGAGGTATGAAGCTATAATATGCATTTATATATTATTTTTAGTTTGATTTTGTTAATTAGAAAATCTGATAATAATATTGTAATTTTTTTAAACTGTATGCAGGTAATTTGGTAATTAAGTGGGGGTGAGTGAAGAATTTGCTGAAAGTTTATTAAAGGTTAGTAAAAAAGAATTTAAAATTTAAATAGTTTTTTATTTATTTGTATATAGATTAATATGTTTTTAGAAAAATAAAATGTGATATAGTTAATTAAAATATAAAATTATAATTAATTGTTAAGAAGATAAGTTAAATTAAGATTTATAAAATTTGTTTGATTTGAAGGAATTGTTATAGATATTTATTAAAATACAGAATAATAAAAATTGAGTTAAATAAAATAATTATATAAAACTAAATATAATAATATATACTTAGTTTGATTGTAATAAATAATTTTTACACCTATATTGTAAAAGAAGTAAAATTTTAAAATTGTAAAATTTTAAATGCAGTAATCACAATTTATATGAAATGTATGTATAAAATTTATATGTAAATAATAAAAAATTTTACTTTTAAAAACATAATATTATTTATATAATTATAAAATAAAAGTAATTTATGTAGATATAAATTAGAAAAATAAAAATGTAATTTAATTTTATGCTAGTAATTAGAGTTTTGTATTTATATAAAATTTATGTAGATTTAAATTACAAATATGAAAAAATAAAAATGTAATTTGTTTTTATGCAGTAAGTAGAGTTTTGTATTTAAATAAAATTTGCTTGTAAATAATAATATTTTTTACTTTAAAAAAATAATAGTATTTATATAATTATAAACTAAATGTAATTTATGCAGATTTAAATTGGAAATATGAAAAAATTAAAATGTAATTTAATTTTATGCTGGTAAATAGAGTTTTGTATTTATATAAATTTTGTATGTAAATAATAATATTTTTAACTTTAAAAAACATAATATTATTTATATAATTATAAACTAAATGTAATTTATGTAGATTTAAATTGGAAATATGAAAAAATTAAAATGTAATTTAATTTTATGCTAGTAATTAGAATTTTGTATTTAAATAACATAACATTATTTATATAAATTATATTAAATTGTATTAAATACAATTTAATATGAAAATTTAGAATAATTAAAAATTTATATATCTTTAGTTATATGTATGAAAATGTAAAAATAATTTATTTATTTAAAATAAAATTGATACTGTATAAATTATAATATGTATAGAATATAGGTTAGTATATTTAAAAAGAATTTATTTATTTAATTTTGTTTATATACCTGATTTTTGCATTTATAATATATTGCAATGAATATAATATGATGTCATTACAATGTGATAATGATTTGTTAGTGAATTTGTTTAACCTTTATAAAATATGTATTATTAATATGTTAGTAAAATATAAATTATTATTATTATTATTGAATGAAATTTTTTTACTAATATTTTTTATTGTTGTATAGATGGCATCATCTTCACAACAAAGTAGGGTTATTAATCTCGGGTCAGAAGATCCATCACTTCTTTGGTTTCAAAGTATTCATGTTTTTGAGCATATTTGGGATGGACGTGATCACCCGACATTAAGGGTTAGGAAGAGTCCAAATATTCCCGATGGATTAGAAGGTGTTCCGGAAGAAATTATTCCACATCTAGAGTTAGCAGGTTTTGTTGGAGTGGCTAACTTGTCTCAGCTTCATGTAAATGTGGGATTGATTACTGCATTAATAGAGAGGTGGAGGCCCGAGACGCACACCTTCCACATGCCTCCTGGAGTGGAGAGTGTACTATTACCCTTCAGGATGTTGCTATTATCTTAGGATTACGCATAGATGGGAGACCTGTTATAGCACCCACTGGGGATGATTGGGCACAGATTGTGGAAGACAGCCTAGGTATGAGACCAGGATCAGAGTCTTTTGTAGGAAGTTTCTTGAAGATGAGCTGGTTGGACGAGCACTTCACTCATATTGTCATGCATAATCAGACTCCACTGCAGATTACTCGGTTTGCTAGGGCATATATATTGAGGCTTATTGGAGGGTTCATGCTTCCTGATCACTCTAGCAGTAGGGTATCTGTGAGGTACTTGCCTTTACTTGACGATTTTGAGTTGACCGGTCAATATAGTTGGGGTTCTGCAGTTCTAGGTTATTTGTACCGAGAGCTATGCATGGCCACCAACATTGATTGTGTTGCTATTAGAGGACTTGCTGCGTTAATTGTGATCTGGGCTTGGGATAGATTTCCCCAGATAGCACCTACCAATCCTCCCTATACTCGTCCCTATCTTCCGTACGGTGTTAGGTAAGTTGGTATTGTTATTGTTTTTCTACGCATTTGTAGGTATTCTATAATGTTATTTGTTTGGCTTCATATTTTTATGATCAAAATTACTTGCAGATGGTTATCCCGCGGTATCAGAAAGGGAAAGAAAGATGTCCAGTACTACAGATATATTTTTGATCGTCTAACCTGTGATGAGGTATTATAGCCAACTTTTACTGAGTTACTTATTTAAATAACATGTTATAAATAAGGTATATTACACTAATTAATTTATTATTTTGTTATTAATCTTATTTTTATGTCATCATACAGATTGTGTGGGTGCCATACAATATAGAACTCATTAATATATTACCAATCGTCCATAGGTAGCTTTAACTAGTGCACATATGGGCAGGTTTCTCGCACCTTTCAACACTTTATTTACTGATTCTGAAAGATTTGTAGTCATGTGTCCATAACGCCGTCCTTCATCATCATAAGATAATGCTCATTTCTCTTTTGATATACTGTCAGTCCACATTTGTATATCTTCAGATTCATTATGAAATCTAGTTAACTTTTGCTGAAAAATGACCTTCGATGGTGTATAACCTACATATACAACATTCAAAACATTAAAAGATCTATCCACGGATTCGATGGATATCTAATAATTTAACAATAATCTAGATAAAAAAATAAAATATACCCAATTTGATGAGCTCTTTCTTCAATGCTATATTCTTAAACCGGTGATTAAAGTTGCTGGCAATATGACGAATGCAATATACATGATACGCATTTGGAGGTTGCCACCCAATGTGTGGATTTGACACAGCCCCTTTTATACTTTGATGTCTATCTGATATCAAACAAATTCCTGCTCTATCGGTAACATGCAAACGAATCAATGCCAAAAACCATTCCTATGCTGACAATGTTTCTCCTTCAACAATTGCAAAAGCTACTGGAAGAACACAATTGTTTCCATCTTGAGTTGTTGCAATGAGCAACGTATGACGATATTTACCATATAAGAACGTCCCATCCACTTGTAATATAGGTTTACAGAATTTAAAAGCCTCATGACATTATTCGAATGACCAGAATAGTCGTTCAAATACTCTACACCTGTTATTCACTTGATGACCAACCACATATTCTTTTGTTTCAAGTTTATAAACAGATCCAGGAGAATGTAATTGCATGTATTCTAACCAATGAGGTAAGGTAGCATCTGATTCATTCCAATCACCAAATACTTTAACAATGACTTTTTGCTTCGCCTTCCAAGCTTTTTTATATGAAATTTTATATTCAAACTGAGCACATATTCGCTCTTGTATCAATGAATAACAATGTCATTATAAAAATAAAATAAAAAACTTGATATTTTACTTACCAAGAATGCATGAACAAATTAAATTAGAATCTAACTTTTGATGATCTTGAGAAATTATCATATTGACACATGTATGTAAACCACTCCACCTAGTAATTTTTCACTTGTTTGAATTCTTCAACAATGAAGCCCTCACTCTCCATGGACAACCAGAGGTATGATTTAAGCATTTAACGTACAAACATGTTGGTTTAGACTCAGCCACAAAATAACTTTGATGAATTTTCATTGCGTAATGTTTTAATGCATTCTTCACATCTTCTTTACTGTCAAAAAATAAGCCAACAAATAAAGGATCTCCTTCAACCCATGAATTGACTTCTTGAAGATGTTCTTCATTCATTTCTTGATCAAGATATTTCCAATTAATATACTTATACTTTGGAGTAACATTCCAAAAAGGAATTACAGTATCTCCTGCATTATATTTATCATTAATATATAAATAAATAACCACAAAAAACAAATTCTTTATAATTATTTCACATTACCTCCTACATTTTCGATTACTTGTATATGTAAGTTGGAATTAAACTCGCCTTTAACATCAGTAGAAGAAGAACTGCCTAACGAAATTTCTGTTTCATCATCTCCATCAGTGTAACTCTCATAATCTGAGTGTTCATTATCTTCATCAACATCATTCCTAACTCCTTTATTACAACAAATTTATCAGTTTTAATTCAATCAATTACATATATTACTTAAAAGATATTAGAACAAAAATAATTTTACCTTCATTATAATCACGACTCACAAGGGTCCTATCATTTTGTTGTGAAAGTGATAAATTTAAATTTATCGTCTGGAAGGACATTGATGAACTTCCACCAACAACAATATTTACGTATAACTCAATAATATTTCTACTAGATTGTTGTTGAAATGCACTTATCATGCAATCAATATCTTCATCATCACATATATCCAAAGCTGTATACTGTCTAATATTCTCATCAATAAAAAAACGAGAAATTAATCTAGAAATCACTTGATTATGGTTAAGATTAAGTTTCACATGAATTTTTCTTTTCAATATTTCATAACTTATTCCTCGTTTTATCTGAATTACTTTTTTACTTCCTTCAAAACTTACTCCTTCATTTCCTTCATAGATTCTACCATTCCAATATATAATAATAACAATCTCACTCATCCTGCATTTTGTACAAATAAACTTTATTTAATATTTAAACTTTACAATAATAACATAAATAAAATAAACAATACTCATTAATTAAATATAACTAAATTCATACATTAAAAATTAAATAATAAAATTATTAAATTACACATACCTGATTTTCTTCTAATGTGCCCTTCTGCGGTGAAAATGAAAGGAGGGTTGGAGTATATATAGTGTTCAAATTTTGCAATTGGAGTCTGTAAGTTTCGCAGTGATGTGGGCGATTTTTTTGATAATTTCGCTACTAACTGTTGACACATGTTGACCTCTTATTTGTTTCGCCAGTCCTGTGGTGAAATAATTTAAAAATATATTAAAAAAAATTCTCGCCATCAAATATGCAAAACTCTACTTTACGTGAAACATGTCAAATGCTTATACATTTCGCAATTCGGTTGGTGAAATTCAATTAACAATATTATAATTAAAAATTATAATCGCCAACGTTTTGTCGAAACTTGTGGACACGTCGCCCAAAATACCCAGAGTGAAAAATTGTTTCAAATCAACCATAAAGTGATAATTTGTTTTTTAGATTACAATATTCAAATAAATTACCCCGAGTTGGGAGAGAATATTTTTTACAACCCGGCTATTTTGTATTTTTTGAATATTACACGTCCAAAAGTTTCCCGTTATATCTACTTTTTTTTTCCCTCATCTCCTCACCATTAATTTATTTAAAAATAAATTAATAATTTCAAAAAATTGTAAATTTTTTAAATAATTTCTAAACATGTTTAGAAACACGATAATGGCACACTACCTTTATTGGAAGCGTTGCTTCAACACTTTTCTTTTTAATTTTTTTTCTGTTTTTTAATATATTTCTGTGCAATAATATATATTTTTTATATTTTTAAATATTACAAATATAATTTTTTTAAAATCAGTCTTTATAAAAAAAATTTCTTGTATTTAATCTTACAAAAAATTTTCATCAAATAATAACTAAACAAACAGTATTTTACATAAAATACTAGTTTCAAATGTGATAAAATTTAAATACATAATTAGTCTCTAAAAATACGTCTTTTTAAAATTAGTCTCTATTAAATTTTTATTCTAATTTTAGTCTTGTAAAAATATACTTTTTTTAAAAAAAATTAGTCCTTCTTGATGTATTTTATTTTTGTTTTAGTTTTGTAAACTTTTAAATAAAATAATTTTATATCATTACATTTAACATGTAATTTTTCTAATTTTTCTAATTTTTTTATTATTATAAGAAAAAAAAGTAAAAAAATATAAATATGAGGTTAAAATAACAGTAAAAAAAAAGTTTTCTTATCTAGAAAATGCAGTTTCTTCTATTAATCTTGAATTTTTTTTAAAAAATAATATTTTGAGATAAGATAACTCTAACTTATTTACTCCTAGGAGAAGGATGAGGTAAACGATACTATATAAATTAAAAATATCGATTCAACACATAATAAAATGATTTATTTTTAAAAACTTTAATTTTTTTAATAACTAAGACCAAAACAAAAATTTAATAAAGACTAATTAAAAAATACTTTTAGAAGATTAATTGTTTTTTTTAAGTTTTGGTAAGTTTAAAATTAACATTTCACTTTAATAATATAAAATACTATTTGCTTAGTCATTATTTAATGATTCTTGTTTTTTTTTTGTTAAATATTAACCTTTTATGAAGGATAAATTTAGAGTATAAGAGTACTTTAACCCAGAAATTAACAATATTCCAATTCATATATATAATTAATTTTTTCAAAAGTTCTAATACAAGTTACTTCTAAAAACGATACTTAATAGAATTAAATATTTTACTAACATTTAACACATCATTATTAAAAAAAATATTATTCGATTGAAACCAATTTATCCATACTGCTACAAACTATACCATTATAACTCTCCTTTATTTCTTTTTTTTCATATTAAATTACACACATGCTTAATAAAGTCTGGTGCAATTTTTTAGGTAAATATAAATTAACGTCAAATCATTCAAACAACATGTACCGCAGTTTCATAGAGATACTACAATGTAAAAATTATGCAATATGATTTAATGACTCCAAATTAACAATTTAAAAACTATTTAAAAAATAAAAATTACAAAGCTACATCCAATAAATTTTTTTTGTTTATTTATTTAAACCTATATTTTCCTGGAGAATAAAATTATTATTGTTCAAGAATTTTTGTATATTCAAAAAAAAAATTACAATCTTCTTAGATGTTTAAATTGTTTTGAATTTGTGTTTTAATATTATAACATATTCCTTTGTTATTTTAAGTATTTGCAATTTTATAATTTCATCAGCAGTAGATATTGATGAGTTAGGATAAGTTTTCAAAGGTTTAAGTCTGATTTATTTCGCACATTGACTTATTTGTTTCATGTAAATTATTTTTAAAACTAAAATATATTTTTTAAAACTTTAATCAAAACTAAAAGCTTATTTAAAAGTCTACACAATAACAATACATTTTTAAAGGTTTAAAAAACGACTTTAAATATATTAATAGTTTAAATCTTTAAATAAACGAATAAATATATAATTTAAATATATTAAAATATAAATTTAATATAATAATAATAATAATAAAGTGGTGTTTTATTTGAATAATTGATAGATATTTAAAATTAACCTAAGTTATTGAAACAAAAATGTATTTCTAATTAAAAAGTAATACTTAATATTTGTCCCTTTATTACTTTAAATGTGATATGGACCAAAGACTCAAGGCATGGCGTGGCAGTGGACACGGGGAGTGTGTATGACTGAGTGGGAGAAGTGAGAACTGAGGAAGGTGATGTTCATGTGTTTG